GCGAGCAGACGCCAGTGCCGCGTGGAAGCTGGTCGTTGAATATTCATTTCTCAAGAATAATTATTTTTCATCTCTGGAAACAGTTCCGCGCGCTCTTGCCTCGACGCCGGCTACATTTTTGAAAACGAGGCTCCCGCTCGAGCGTTGGCTTGAGCCGCAGCTGCGACGACAACGGCTCCTGCTCGATATTTCCTCACAATTTGCCCCGAGACACCCTGGCCAGAGAGGCCCCCGAACTCAGGAACGGCGCCCTCGCTCGAGATTTCCTCGCAGTCTAATTAAGTTGGCGGAGGCTCAGCCACGACGACAAGGGCTCCTGATCGATACGTCTCCACGATTTACTCCGAGAGCCCCTGGCGAAGAAGGCCCCCGAACTCAGGAACGGCACTCTCGCTCGAGACTTTCCCGTGATTCAGGCCATTTGGTGGGGGCCCGGACACGGCGACAAGGGCTCCCGTCCGATATTTCTTCATAGGTATTCCGAGAGCCCTTGGCCAGAGAAGCCCCCGAACTCAGGAACGGCGCTCTCGCTCGAGTTTTCTTCGCACTTCAGTCAGTGGCCGCCATGGAAGAGATTCCCCCCGAAAGGGGGTGCAATCGAAGACGAAGTAGGCGGGTATCGAGGGTTGGGGTATACGGAATGCAAGACGCGCGTGCCAGTGAGAGCGAACAGTCTTAAAATGTTTGTAGTTGTCGTCGTCGTCGTCGTCGTCGCCGTCGCGCTCCCCTCGCGGTGGGCCGCGCCTGGGCGGTGATGATGAGGAGGACCGGGGTACACCCAGGATGCATCAACGATGCCGGAGTGCACCTCAGAGGAGTAAAAGGTACCCATATTGGTACTTTTCTCTGGTCTTCCCCTGTTTCGAACGCGCCATTGGAGAAGTCTAGGGAGTAGCGGTATCGGTACCTTTTGCTTTCCCAAGGGGCCGCTCCCGCTGCCGCCGCGGCCGCGTGGGCCGGCGGCAAAATCCGAAACCTGCTCTCGCTGATCAACGCCTCAGGCAACTCGATGGGTGGCGGGGGTAGGGTTCGGCATTCGTCGAGCACGTGGCGAAACCCGACCCCCAACCCCGCCTCCCAGCGACTCAGGCGATCTCCGATGGTTGGTGGGGGTACAGAAGAAACGCATGCCAAGAAGCACCCTGCTTGCCTCCAGGGTGCCCTGGGTTTCTTGGGTTCCGATGGTTTTGCAACGGAAAGCGTGACGTTCCCCGCACCAACAAAAATCATTGGACGTCCTGGGGTATCGGGGTTGGGTCTCCTGTGGAAGGTTCCCTGTGGCCGAGCTCCTACAGTCAAGCCGCACGGTGAGGATGGGCACGCTTCCCAAGGGTTTCGAAATGGCCTTCCAGGGCCCCTGCACTCTTATCGCGCATCCTTCTGCTACGGGTTGCCTGTGCTGCAGGGTTCGGCTGCCGCCGCTCGGGGACACGAGCAACGACGCAGACACCCAGAGCTCGGAGGTCCGCGAGCGGACGTCTCGCATTCGCGCGGGCGTCTCGGAGCCGCGCGGGACCCCCCTCCCCCTGGCGCGCGGAGCGCCAGTCAGGCGATCGCAAGCATGGATTGAGGGGGCGTGGATTAGCGACGGGTCCAGTTTCCATGGGGAACCGCGATTTCCGCCGCTGAGCGAGGCGGCACCGACCGCATTCTGGGGAGGATCCATGGGTTTGGCGACCGCGCGCCGAATCCATGGATCGCCAATCCATGTTTGCGCGCGGAGCGAACCGGGGGCGGCGCTGGAGGCGCCGCCAGGGGGCCCCAGCGCCGATCCAAGGAATCGCCGGGAGTCCGCGCGGGCCTCGGAGTTCTTTTTTGTGCTCGTGTCGCCGCTGGTTCCCCTGGCCCTCTGCGAGGCTCGGAGGCGCCGCCAGGGGGCGCCAGCGCCGATGCGAGGAGCCGCCGGGTGTTCGCGCGGGTCCCGGAGTGCTTTTTTTATGCTCGTGCCGCCGCCGGTTCTCCCTGGGCCGCCCTGCGAGGCTGCCCGTGGGTGCGCTCGGCCTCCCCGCGGCCTCGCGGCGCGGGTCCTCGGCAGCCAGCCCTGGTCGGCGGCAACGACAGGGGGGGATAGGCACAGGGGGGGACGCATCGACCCAGAATCGCCCATGGATCGCCGATAGGGGCCCGATAGCCCCAAGCCGCCCTCAGGAAGGTGCGGATTCACTTTCGGGGGCCCATCGCCGATCTATCGGCGATGCATCGCCGATTCCAGGTCGATGCTTCCCCCCCCTATGCCCATTCCCCCCCCCCTATCGTTGCTCCTCATGGAAGCGAGAAGGAGGAGGCCTTGTCAGAAGGCTCGGAAGTCCCCGGGGCGTCTGAGAAGTTTTCTACGCCTGCCCCGAAGGCACGGAGCACGCTCCTCGGAAGGCTGGAGGGCTGCCGAGGAGCCCCGCCGCCTTCTTCTGGGGAGGGCCTCCTTCTCGTTTTTCCCGTGGGCATGCCGCCGATTGTGCTGAGGGCAGTGGGAAATATGGGATAAGGAACCGATGTTGGAGGCCTGGAAATGAGCACCGACACCAACACGGGGAGTTGCCTCCACCAGGGGAAGATGGTCCTGGATGTTCGTGCTGGTGCTGGTGGTGGTTCTCGCTTCTGCCCCCCTCGCTCGCCACCGACACGGCCTCGCGGGCGGTTTCGGCAGCCAGCCTGGGTGGGACGTGAGAAGGAGGAGGCCTTCTCAGAGGGCGGCGTGGCTTCTCGGACGCCTTCCGGCCCTCTGAGGAGTGTTCTGCGTCTTCGGGGAAGGCTTGGAAAAGTGCTCCCCTGAGATCCGACGTATCGAACATTCGCAACATCGTAATACATCACGCCCCATGCCCTGGACTCCATCTTTCTGCGTTATTTAAGAGCCGGATCAATATGTGAGGGTCCCAGGGCCCGATAAAAGGCGAAAACGCCGGACTCGCAAAACATGAGACGCCAGGATCGCAGGGTCAGAAGGCTGGGGGACTGGTGGTGGTTCTCACTTCCCCCTCGTAATAGTGATGATGGTGATGGTGATGGTGATGGTGATGGTGATGGTGATGGTGATGATGATGATGATGATGATGATGATGATGATGATGATGGTGATGATGGTGATGATGGCGATGATGCTGATGCTGATGATGTTGATGCTGATGTTGCTGCTGATGATGATGATACTGCTGATGCTCCTGCTGATGATGATGATGCTGGTGACGATGCTGATGATGATGCTGATGATGATGATGATGATGATAATGATGATGATGAGGATGAACATGAATATGATGATGGTGGTGATGATGATGGCGGTCGTGATGATGCTGCTGATGTCCTGATGCTGATGATGATGCTGATGCTGATGCTGGTGCTGATGATGGTGCTGATGCTGTTGCTGTTGCTGATGCTGATGATGATGATGATGCTGATGATGATGATGATGATGACGATACTGGTGATGATGATGACGATGATGGTGGTGGTGATGATGATGATGTTGATGATGGTGACGATGCTGATGCTGCTGATGATGATGCTGATGGTGATGCTGATGATGATGCTGATGATGCTGATAATGATGATGATGAGATGAAAAAGGAGGAGGATGAGGAGAAGGAGGAGGAGGAGGAGGAGGATCGCGTGTGGGGCTCTTCAGGACTCTTTGATGTAACTTCTCACGGGCACTCTGTTGCACCCACTTTGCTTTGCGCTTTGCCAGGGCGCCCAGGGTTTGACGAGGAAGGGGCAGGATGATGATGCTGCTGCTTACAATGTTTCTGCTGATGATGCTGATGATGCTGCTGCTGATGATGATGATGCTGAGGATGGTGCTGCTGATGATGCTGCTGCTGATGACGGGCATGGCCATCGTTCTGCTGCCTTTGCTGCTGCTGATGATGATTATGATGACGATGGTGCATGCTGATGCTGCTGCTGATGATGCTGCTGATGATGATGATGATGGTGATAATGATGATGATGCTGCTGCTGATGATGATGATGATGATTATGATGACGATGCTGATGCTGATGCTGGTGCTGATGATGATGCTGATGCTGATAATGATGATGCTGTTGCTCATTGCTCATGATGATGCTGATGATGCTGACGATACTGGTGATGATGCTGATGACGATGATGATGGTGATGATGGTGATGATGGTGAGGATGGTGACGATGCTGTTGCTGCTGCTGTTGATGATGATGCTGCTGCTGATGATGGTGATGATGATGATGCTGATGCTGATGCTCATGATGACGAAATGAAAAGGATGAGGAGGACAAGGAGGAGGAGGAGGAGGAGGATCGCGTCTGGGACTCTTCTCACGGGCACTCTGTTGCACCCGCTTTGCTTTGCGCTTTGCCAGGGCGCCCAGGGTTTGCGAGGAAGGGGCAGGATGATGCTGCTGCTGCTGCTTACGATGATGATGCTGATGATGCTGATGCTGCTGCTGCTGATGATGATGATGCTGATGATGATGCTGAGGATGCTGCTGCTGATGATGATGCTGCTGCTGATGATGGGATGGCCATCGTGCTGCTGCTTTTGCTGCTGCTAATAATGATGATGATGATAATGACGATGATGCATGATGATGATGCTGCTGTTGATGATGATGATGGTGATACTGATGCTGATGATGATGATGATGAGGATGATGATGATGATGATGTTCATGATGATGCTGATGCTGATGCTGATGCTGGTGCTCATGATGATGCTGATGCTGATGCTGATGATGCTGCTGCTGCTCATGATGATGATGATGATGATGATGATGATGATGATGATGATGCTGATGCTGATGCTGATGCTGATGCTGGTGCTGGTGATGATGCTGATGCTGATGCTGATGATGCTGCTGCTGCTCATGATGATGATGATGATGATGATGATGATGATGATGATGATGATGATGATGATGATACTGGTGATGATGATGATGGAAATGATGGTGATGATGGTGATGATGGTGACGATGCTGATGCTGCTGCTGCTGATGATGATGATGATGCTGATGATGATGATGAT